ATTCAAAAAGACTCCCTGTTACTCTAGGTCGCGTTGACAAGACCCCGCCCCCCCCCCGTCCCATGGATCTGAGGGCTGAGGGCCAGGCTATTATTCTGCCTGCCGCATGGCACGGGCACCGCACATTGCCTAGACGGAGAAACACCCCTGACCTGTTGCGGCACGCTTTTTACCGGATGGTCTGTCACGCCCGAGGCCAGCCTGGAAGTCAGTGCCATACGGAGCATTACGATTACCACATCGCCGACAAATATCGTGACAATGCGGACTTACTGACCGCTCTGAGACGGATTCCACTATGAATCGGTCATTGGACCGCATCCGACCGTGGCTGACGAGTCAGGTGCATCGAAAATTCTCACGATATCAAGTTTTGCTTGGAGATTGACAGGATGCCGATACGCTTGGCACATGGCTACGCCTGCAGTTCTTTGGCCAGGGTGCGCGTTAGCCTGCCCATAGCCTTCCTGCCACCGTTATCCAAATACTTTCTTGACTCGCCAGCGACACCATTGAAGACTGCCCAGCCGCACGCTTTGTTCGTTTTATCTTCAAGTATACCAACCGCCACAGCCTGTCGATCGTCGGCAAAGTACCGACGACCGACTGGCGGTGGGGGTGTGCCCCCCAGGATTGCGAATCACACGCCAGCTGCGACATCGCTGAAATGCCTCGAAGACCAAGGCGAGATTGCTAGCTGGTATCCTCGGGCGCGCTGGAACGAACGGGCTTGGCCCTTCTCTCCCGTGACGTTGTACATTATTCATGTTCATTCTGCCAACAACATGTTGACTCTTGCGTTGTGCTCCTATGAATTTGCGCATGAGCGGTAGATCACCCCTGTCCGATTGGGATCAATGCGCGCTGTTCAGTTGTTGTGATTGCGTCGCGCCCTGTCGCACCAGTATGGCAGTTCGTGGTCATGTGGCCGAGCAGAGAATGGACAGTCGGATGCAACCCGCTGCCTAGTGAGCTCATCAACATGCAATGCAAGGGATCTGACGTCCATTTAGGGCGACAATTTCAACCGACAGGAAGCGACAGCGGGCGGTGTGCACACCAAGTCCTTCAGCCCTCCTGCTGTTGCGTGTTTTGCGACGCAGTACAGGCCACGAAGTCTGTTTTGAGGTGTTCCTGCACACGACCATCAGGTGTTCCCTCACGTATTCCCACGGTCACCAAGAAGACACACTTCTCCTCAAGCTGTGCTCCTGCACTGTAAGCTTTGCGCTACGAGGTTAACGATGCGAGCATGGTTAACGGCGCGTGTGACCGAATTGTGATATTGAAGACGGCATTTCCTCCTCATCATGAAAATCGGTGATCAGCTGCCTCAGGTGTGCAAACTTTCCGAATACGTTCAGACGCCCGCATTAGACGGCCTGCATGGGTGGGCGGTATGCACGCAATTGCGGCGGTTGGTGGCCGGCGTCCCATTCAGCCTGAAGGTCCCATGCAGACGAGTTCGTCGCCTGAGCAGGTGCGCAGACAAGGAGTGCTTAAGTCGCTCATGGCCTCGGCGGCGGGATATAAGGTGCCGGTCACGTATGCCGGGGAAAGACCACAGGAGACAAGACAGATTACCTAGCTGCCTGCATGTTGGCATGCACACCGGCACGCCATTAACATGCGCACCTGTGTATGTTCAGATAGGCTCGCGCGGCGATGCCGGAGAGCTGACGAGGAAGGTTGAAGAATCGGCTTCGAGGTGTGTTCCGAGGCCACCCACATGGCCATGGACAAAGCTGCGGTCGAATTGATGCATCGCGCCGAGAGCTGTCTCTGGTGTCATGCTCGTCCGCTGAGCAGGCAACATTCAGATGTCGTCGTGATGCCGTCCCCATCAATGTCCCACCTGTCACTGAAAGCGGGCCCGCGCAAGGGACGCTGTTGAGCCGCATCAACGTCCCACTCACGGGTGTCGCCGTGGTCATGACCACCATGTCGGCGGATCTATGAAGTCTTGAGGTGTGGTGGACCGGTGGACTGGTTCCTCTTCGGGGGCGGGCTGCACCCAGGGTGCCTCCTCACCACCTCCACCCCCTATTCCCTCCCGCCCCCCCAGACGGGGCACTGTTCTCCGCATGGATGCGACCCGGGGCGTTGGGTCAAGATCAAGACCCAGATGACCTCCACGACAGCTAGCTAGAGGCGGACAAGATACAGCGGGACGCGTGTGGTGGACGACTCCATCCTGAGATCCGCCGATCTGACAACGGCATGCCCCAGTGAAGGAAGGACAGGAGGGGCCTGGCGGATCACCTCCAAGGCCGCCCAGATGTCAGCCCCGTTTGGGGGCCAACCTTCGTATGGTGCGAATGGAGACATTGGGGCACGACCGTGCTTTCGTCCAAGTGCGGAAGGCGAATTTTGAGTTTTGCCAAGGCCCTCACGGGCACGAAGCCGGAGCCGACACGCTCGTCCAGCATCGTGCGGTTGTCCCTTTCTTGGAAGGCTGCTGGATTGGCTCAGCAGCGCAGGCAGAAATGGCGCCTGGCCTTCACCTCATTGTGAACGATGTTGCCGACACCGATGCAATGAGTGATTGCACGGCGGCAAAATCTTGTGACATATCTGCGTTGATACACATATCTAGCTCATCGTTGCCTCTACACATGAAATCAGTAAGGCTGAGCCAAGTGCAAAGAAATTCGACTGTCGATGTAGCAAGTCGTTGACCTGATTGACCTGGTGTCATCCAGCCAGTACGTGTGGCAAGACCGCTGAGGCTGGGGTGTGGCGCAGTAATCGGTACATTGTAGGCCCGGGACAAGATCAGGCTGACGCGTGATTGGTTATGAAAAATCCCAAGCTCAATTCGTAGCCTTCAGTTTCGTGAGATATTGTTAAGTCCTCCTAACGGCGCAGCTCGAACCTCGACCACAGAGAATTAGCCATTGTTCAATATGGCAAATGCCAACACACTGCGGCCTTCCATAGGCCGTCTCGCCACCCGCGTAACCATCACGCCCACACGAGCCGTCACGGCGCAGTTCCTCTCCTCCACCGCCGCCCCCTTCTCGACTTCAACGGCACAATGCAAACGCAAGACTCGCGATAACAACCGCCTCCGTGGCGTCAGCGCCCTTCGACGTACAGGGCCCCGCGAGCCCCTGTCTGTGTCGTGGGACGAGCTCCCCAAGCCGGTGGACTTCAAACCCAGGATCGACACGGACGCGGACCATGGGCTTTGGGGTTTCTTCTCGGCCGAGGGCAAGCTCATGAACCAGCCAAAGGAGGACGAGGCACATGGGCGCGCGTGGACAGTGAAGGAGCTGCGTGAAAAGGGCTGGGAGGATCTGCACGCCCTGTGGTGGTCTTGTTGCCGTGAGCGGAACAGGATCGCGACGCCAACGCGGAGCGCATCCGCGCCCGTATGGCTTGGAGGAGCCACGAGGCGAACGAGAGGGACCAGGTGTGAGTCTCACGCTTTCTGAAGCAAGAAGAAACGTGCGTGGCATTGTGAGCTGACATGTTGCGACGCGGGCCAGCAAACGATGCAAGGCATCAAGCACGTCCTGACCGAACGGTACTACCTATGGGAGGACGCCCGCGAGCTGGCGAAGACCGACCCCGAGATCGACCTGTCAGGGAATGGCGAGGCGTACCAGCCTTCGTACGAGCGTGGCGAAGACCACCTCGTCGCTGAGCCGAGCGAGGCCACACTCGAGGATGCTACACGGAAGACCGATGCAGCTGCCTCCACCGCCAACGTCGAGGGCGTCCATGTCGACCCCTCCACATTGCCAGCCGGCGACAAGGCGCCGGTGCAGTCGCAGAAACTATAAAAATACTTTGGGTAACACGATCAGTCAGAGCAGAAGGTCACACTCGGTCAGTTCCGGCCGGGACCATGTAAGAAGTACCTGTACTAGTGTATACAGAAATGATGTACGATACGAAGAGGGAATCGCGCGAAGGAAGCCGAGTTCATCATGTTTTTAAACAAGCCATGATGCTTGAACGTGCATTGTGACTGCATGCCCAGTTATCCCGGCTGATGGCAGTCACGAGGCTGTCCTCGAGTGATGTGCGATCCAAGGCCAATACAGTGCATTGTCCAGGATGTTATAAAGTACTACCTACCTAGGGCAGTCATGGATCACTGCCTTAAGACTGCTGGCCCTGCTGTCCACTGCCGAGCAGACCGGGAAAATCGACCCAGCAGCGATGCAATGCTGATCCAAGTCGTCTCGGATGCCTTCGAACTTGATAGGAGCTCATTCAGACGAGAACTGCTGCGAGGGCAGGCATCCCACCCACCGCCTCGTGAGCCCCCCCCCCAGCGCAGACCAGGAGTGTGCACAGTGGTGCATTTGCACTGCTGCACCGCTGCATGACCCCTCCAAAACCTCGACCCCAATGGCCCACCTGAAGGCCCGACCGCTTCTCCAGTCCTTCCCATTCATCATACCCAGACGCTGGCCACTCCGCTTCAACCAAACCCAAAACCCCCCCTCAACCCAAACCAGCTCATCCCGACACATCTCGAAGCCACTCCTTTCCAGGCACGCAATAGAAATCAACCGAAAACAGCTCCCACACCGCAATCATGGACGAGATTGCTAAGGAGTACGATGTTATTGTCCTCGGCACTGGTACGTCTACGTCTCGTTCCCCTCGTGGCCTTGCCCCGCATCGCCCTGGCGTGGGGTTCTTCACCTATGCTTCCTAGCTGACCGCTCTACCGCCGTATAGGCCTGACCGAGTGTATTCTGTCCGGGTACGATTCCATTTCGAACAAGCCATCGTATCTAATGTCCGGCGAAGTGATGCTGACTTTCATGACCCCACAGTGTCCTCAGTGTGAAGGGCAAGAAGGTCCTCCATATTGACCGCAACGACCACTACGGCGGGTAAGCTTCCTCCTCTGACAGCGGCCCGCTCGCCACCGTGATTCAAGGCAACAAAGCTAATGCATCACCAGTGAGGCTGCTTCTGTCAACCTTGAGACGGTATATCTCCCGAACCTTGCAAACACTGCTTCCGAGTCCGAATCTGACATGATACACTATAGCTCTTCAAGAAGCACGGCAACTACCAGAAGGGCGAGGAGCCATGGACCAAATACGGCCGCCTCAATGATTGGAACATCGACCTTGTCCCCAAGTTCCTCATGTCCTCTGGCGAGCTGACCAACATTCTCATCTCCACCGATGTCACGAGGTACCTCGAGTTCAAGCAGGTCGCTGGCAGCTACGTCCAGCAGGGCCAGGGCTCCAAGGCTACCGTTGCCAAGGTCCCTTCCGATGCCGCTGAGGCGTTGCGCTCCCCCCTGATGGGCATCTTTGAGAAGCGTCGCATGAAGAGCTTCATCGAGTGGGTTGGCACCTTCGACCTGAAGAACCCAGCTCCACAAGGGTAAGTCAAAGCTCTCCAATGCCCCTGAGCTGTCGACTCGTGTCACACATCCAGCTAACACAAAACGAACAGGCCTGGACCTTAACACCGCCACCATGAAAGAGGTATATGACAAGTTCAGCCTCGAGACCGGCACCCGCGACTTCATCGGCCACGCCATGGCTCTCTATACCGATGACGACTACCTCACCACACCCGGTGCCGCTCCGGAGGCCATTGAGCGCATCCGCCTCTACGGCAACTCGGTCGCTCGCTACGGCAAGTCTCCGTACATCTACCCGCTGTACGGCCTGGGAGAGCTTCCTCAGGGCTTCGCCCGCCTCTCCGCCATCTATGGTGGCACTTACATGCTCAACACCCAGATTGACGAGATCCTTTACGAGGATGGCAAGGCTTCCGGCATCAAGGCCACCATGACTGGCGCGGACGAGATGAAGTTCGAGACCAAGGCCAAGACTATCCTCGGAGACCCCAGCTACTTCCCTAACAAGGTCAAGGTCGTTGGCCAGGTTCTCCGCGCCATCTGTATCCTCAAGCATCCCCTGTCTGGCACCAACGATGCCGACTCGGCTCAGCTCATCATCCCCCAGAGCCAGGTTGGCCGCAAGAATGGTAAGTGGCAAAGCATCAACGAATCATGAACACTGCTGACCTGACTAGATATCTACATTGCCACCGTGTCCTCTGCTCACAACGTCTGCCCCAAGGGCTACTGGATCGCAATCGTCTCCACCATTGCCGAGACGACAGCGAACCACCACCTCGAGCTCCAGCCCGGTCTCGAGCGCCTTGGCAAGATTGAGGAGCAGTTCATGGTGAGGCGCAGATTCTTGAGAGGGCAACGACGTGGGCTAACTGAACCAGGGCGCTCCTATCCCCATCTACGAGCCCACTGATAATGGCTCCAAGGATAACGTATTCGTTTCCAAGAGCTACGACGCCAGCAGCCACTTCGAGACCACCACGGACGACGTCAAAAACATCTACCGCCGCGCCGCCGGCGAGGCGCTCGTCGTCGAGGGCCTCAGGGAGGGTATCAATGTCGCTGACGAGTAAGCGACACAGGAAAGGAAGACCAGCAGGATACGTATCACATAACCAGGCACATATACCAAACCAGTACAGTACAGCGGAGGAAACAAACCGGGGGCGGAACCTTGATGGATGCTTTGGCGATAGCTTCTCCGTAGACGAGTCATTTATCTGATCTTTGGCGGGCAACTATCAAATTTACGTTAGTAGCGTTGTGAACGAAAAGGTTGAATTCTTGAATTGATACAAATGCATCTTCACACCAATCCCGCGGTGGTATCTCCGTGAGTATCATCTAGTCATCCCCAGGAATTCAATGACTGCTTGTATCGCTCACAAGAGCACACTTTCTCCGGTAGAATCACGCCAGATCCCGATGGACGACAGCAAGACCAGCCTGCCAACGCTCTGATCATGAGCCGGTCTTTGTCAAGCCCTGTAGCAAGCGTATGCGGCCCGCGTGCGTGTTCCAGCAGGGTTGAAAACAGTAGAGGTTTGTAACCGCAAAACGACAGCTGATTTCGCATTCTCGTCCATGGAACGTTTCAATCACGACAGTGCAGAGTTGCTGATGTCGTCATCGTCAAACCAGTGCAGGATTCTCGGGTCGCAGGATAATGGGATGTGCCAAGCATCAACAAGATTGCAGCCCATGGCATCAACGTCATTGTTGAGCTATCGCGGTTGCGTTCATGGCAGGCATTTGTATAGCCTTCGCTGTCCCTCACTGCCACCCTTGTCGGCCTGGAGACCCTCTTGTGGAAGCACAGTCTTCCATGCTGGCAACGGTTTGATTCACTTGAGAATATTGCACCGGGCGCTTGCTTTGGAGTTTTCAAGGAGAGCCCAATTGCATTAATAGTCTTCTCTAGGCCTAGGATACTAGAAGCGCTAGAAAGCCATAGAAACATGGCGCAAGCAGCAAAGCAGCTCGAGAAAGAGAGGTCTCCGCAGGAGGCTCAGGTGGCTCTCGCTACGGATGGACGATGGGGCCTGAGAGTGAATTTGTGCGAAATGGATGTTGTTTTGGTCGAGGAACATGCTGTACTCACACATGCGTCAATCATCTAACAAAGGGCATGTTCTAGCTACAGGTGTAAATATGCACCAGTTATCGGACGAGTCGACAAGTCCGTCAGACCGAAGGCTCAAAGGAACAGACGCATTCACAACGCAAGAACTAGACCCTTACCTCTGCACGAGCACTATCGGCTCGGAAGATTGCATGCTCACAGAAAACGTCGACTGGCTGGCGGTGGCAGGATCTCTTCTCACGTGGAAAGGTGCTCAGCCCAAAGACGGAGGCGGCTCGTACAAGGACACAAGTTGTCATATTACGGAAAGCATGGCAATGTCAGGGTGAGATGATGAAACAAAAGTCAATTTCCTTGCCAAAGGTCGTAAATAACATGATCATTTTTATGTCCGGCCACGAGCTCCTCAGAGCCGGCAGCCATTGGAACGGTAACGTCCCGAGAAGAACCACCACGCGCCAAACTCCCCGACGAAACAGATGCCACGAGTGATGATCCATATGCGCGAGAGAAAGACCACCAGCTTCGAGAAGAAGCAGGAGAGAATGCCGCTTAACGACTCCTCGTGGAGCCCATGCCACGCTTGCCGGCGAGCTGCGTCTTGTGTTAGTAAACGGAAGGAGACGGAAGATCGGGCGTGAGTCACTTACCAGATGCCTCTGCAGCGAAGCCGTAGTGTGACGATCGGCCTCACCCTGCCTGGCCATGCGATTCATCTTCTTCTGGCCCAGCTTGGCCATGCGCTCAGCCGTGGTGCGCTTGCCCTCATCCTCGACACCGTCCTCGCGACGGTTGACAGCAGCCTGGCTGCGAGACCGGGCGCGGCTCTGCGACCGGAGGCGCTCGCGCGGCGTGGCGTCGAGGTCCATGGCGTCGGCGTCCTCGGTGCCGGCACGGCTGCGTCCGAGCGAGCGGCCACGGGGACGAGACTGGGAGCGCGCGCGCGACACAATGTCGGTCGTGTCGACACCGAGCTGGTCGAGAGCGTCGTCCATCTTGGACAGGGGAATGGGAACCTTCTTGCGGGGGATGATGGCCTGGTTCTTGAGACGCTTCTTCATGCGCGCCTCGTTGCGGATCTGTCCCTGCTTCTCGCGGATCAGCTCCGCCTGGGCGAGCACGGTGGCCTCCTCCTCGTCATCGATCTCCTCGTCCGAGTCATAGTAGCCCTCGGCCTCGAGCTTCTCCTCCTCCTCCTCGAGGGCGGCGAGCTTGGCCTCGATATCGGGGTCGATAAAGTCGGCGACGTTCTTGCCGTCGAAGATCTCGGGGATCTTGTCGTACTTCCACTCGGGGTTTGCGAGGATGTAGTCGGCGCGGAGGTCGACGTTGAACACGCCAGCACCGCCCTGCTCTTCCTCGACATCCCGCGCAAGCCTCCTGCGCTCGGGGTCAGTCTTGTCGTACTTCTTGAGGTTCTTGACGCCCTCGGGGATGAAAGTCTGGAGCGTCTGGCCGCCCATCGGAGTCGCGACGTGAATGCGCGACATGACGTCAGCCAGGCGGCCGCCGATGGCGCCGCTGCTGGTGGTACCGGCGTTCAGCTTCTGCGAGACGCGCTCAGCAATGAGGCGCTCGCAGACGGCGTTCTTGACGTCCTGAACGCCCTCCTGAGTGTTGCAAGACAGCTGCAGCATCTCGACCTCGCCCGACTTGAGCAGGCCCTGAAGCTTCTCCTGCGTCTCGGCATCGAGGTCCTCAACCTTGGTGATGTCGATCTTGTTGATGACGAGGAAGACGAGCTTGTTGGAGAAGAGGGGCTTGATCGAGGCGAAGAGGTTGATCTGGGCTTCGACGGAGTAGCCGCACTGCTCACTGAGATCCATGACTGTGATCCATTAGAAAATGGCCATCAAAGCAAGACGTGACGCATGTACTCACAATACATGACCGCTGAGCGCAAATGAGCAAGGGCTGTGATGGACTGCATCTCGATCGTGGACCTGCACATAATGAGTTGGAGTTTCCCAAGTTTGGTTTGCGGCAGACGTACATCTCCTCAAGAGGGTGGTCCAAGATTCCGGGGGTATCAATGCACTGGAAACGTAGGTACTTGTAGTCAAAGTGACCACAGAAGAGGGACTTGGTCGTGAAGGCGTACGGCTGAACATCGACGTCGGCGCGAGACACGGCTGCAAATGCACGTTAGTCTAGTTTCCTAGCCGCGAGGACTTCACGGGGCAGCTTACACTTCAAGAAAGAACTCTTTCCAACATTGGGGAAGCCGCAAATGACGAGCGTCCTAGTGTTGGGGTCGATGGAGGGCAGACGGCCAAGATGCTGGCGGACCTGCTCGAGGTACAGGAAGGTGTCTTTGAGTCTCTTAATGAGTGTAGCCATGCGACCAAGGGCAGCGCGCTTCAACTGCTTGCACTGGTACAGAGACTGGCCGTACTTCAGAAGACGGACGTAGTCACGACCCACACTCTCAATGAGCGACTTGCAGGTCGAGATCTGGCCAAGAGCGATTTTGAGGTGGTCGGCATCGTACAGGGTGTTCATGAGATCGCGATGGAACGGGTGGATGTCGTTGAGGCGGGGGAAAGACTCGATAATCTGGCCAAGCTTGTCCGAGCAGGTCTCCTGAGTGAACTTGACCTTACGGGTGTAGAAGCCCTGACAACATGTTAGCAGGTTGTTCCTGATGGTGGAGGCAGCCAGGCCGAGACAGGAGAACATTGAGGCCGCAACCCGCGTAGATCTCCTCGTCATGCCGTAGTCATGCCCGCGCCTCGACTTTGCGCACGTCCACGTACTCTGATTCTGCTGATCTTGAAACCGGCGCGAATCTGCGTCGGCAGTTTCCTCTGGGTGGACGACAGAATAATGTCGGTCATCTGCGAGTAGTTGGGAATGACTGGGATATCCTTCCATCTGATACACGGTCAGCGAGTGGTCAGAAGACCAAGCCTATGCGGTTTCTGCTAACTGTGTCTTCATGGTGAGCGGCAGGTGAGCGCTGACGCGAGCTCAAGCGATCGAAAATTGGCGGTGGGAAATGTGGAGGCGGTCGGGCGCAGGCAGAGAAGGAGGGTCGAGAAACTCGGTGAGTTCGGATTCGATCCTGAGGAGTTTGCAGCCGGGTGACAATCTCGACGACAACTGCGGACCACCTAAGTGACGAAGACGAAGAAGGGAGACGACCAGGCGTGTTTTGAGGGCTCGGTGGTCGGTTCGATCGTTCCGCTCAGGGTGGGCGGTAAGAACTGAAGTGCGGTCGGCATCGAGCCTCATGATTTTTTTTTCCCATGGCCCAGCAGAAAAAAAGTGGCGACTTGGCGCTATCTTATCTTATCTAGTTCGATGCTACCTGCAATTTGACATGGCCCTCTCACGACAAGCCTGCGGTGTGATGCGATACACCAGAGCCAGCTATGGTTCTCTTAATGCTGGAATGAATTCAAGGCTCGGATACACCACTGTCTTACCATTACCTTGTGATCCAAATCTTGGCAGAGCCTTGGTGGTTCATTCAACATGAACTCTGCATGGCATCCTCACTTTCTGTCAAGGCTGCGAGCGCCCCACACAGAAATTTTCCAATCGTGGTGGGGTGCGGGGCAGCGACGCCCAGCACCGTATCAGTGAAGGAGGGGTCATTTCTTCAGAGGATGAAGCCGTAGTCGGATGAGATTCGATTAAGCTTTTCTTGTGAAGACGACCTGGAAGAAGACTTGACATGATTTGATTCTTGCACACGAACCACTACTGTGCTTTACCTCTTCAACACCTCACAATTGTCATCATCTGCTTCATAGGCCCGGCGCATCTTAGTACCCCGCCATCCATCCCCTCGCGACAACCACCACACATCCACCATGGCCGGCCAACTCCCACAGTGGAAGCAGGATTTCCTCCAGGCTGCCATCGCAGGCAAAATTCTCAAGTTCGGCTCTTTCGAGCTCAAGTCCAAGCGCATCAGCCCCTACTTCTTCAACGCTGGCGACTTCTACCGGGCCGACCTCTTGCGCGCCATCTCCCTCGCCTACGCCCACGCCATCATCGAGGCGACCAAGGACGCCGCCAACCCGCTGCGCTTCGACATTGTCTTCGGGCCTGCCTACAAGGGCATCCCCCTCGCCACCGCCGCTGTAGACAAGCTCGCCGAGCTCGACTCGGCCACCTTTGGCCACACCTGCTACTCCTTCGACCGCAAGGAGGCCAAGGACCACGGCGAGGGCGGCAACATTGTCGGCGCCCCCCTCAAGGGCAAGCGAGTCCTCATCGTCGACGACGTCATCACTGCAGGAACTGCCAAGCGCGAGGCCATTGCCAAGATTCGCGCCGAGGGCGGCGAGGTTGCTGGCATTGTTGTCGCGCTTGATCGCATGGAGAAGCTGCCATCACCCGATGGTGATGACTCCAAGCCCATGCCCAGCGCCATGGGCGAGATCAAAAAGGAGTACGGTATCCCCATCTACGCCATCCTGACGTTGGACGACATCATCGAGGGCATGAAGGGTTTCGCTTCGGAGGAGGACACGAAGCGCACTCAGGAGTACCGGGCCAAGTACAAGGCCAGCGATTGAGTTGAGTCTCTAGTTGATCACTGCAGATGTGGGCAGGGAGGAGGACGAGTACTGCTTTTGCGCTCAAAGTTCCACCCAGGCGTCACGAGTAGCTAGCAAAAGGTAGTCAAGGCTTCTGAATAGACTAAACTGGCTACCTGTCTAGCAGAGGGAGGCGGTACTCTTGTAGAATAGGTAGGCGTCATATGAGGGTCAACATCTCACAGCCCCGCTCGAACGCCCCTATACGATGGAAATTGCTCAATGCCAGGGGGCTATTTCAGCCCTTCTGAGCCGGGCCATCAAGGTCGAGAACCTTCGTAGAGGAGGTCAGCGAGTTTGCTCCGGTGTCTGCATCTTTAGACGAAGCAACGGGAGGCGCTCTCACCATATCGTACCAGCCGCCGCCTCCGAAGGTCACTTGACTCGCGCCCAGTTCCCTGAACCCGAACTTCTTGTAAAACCCCACGAGATGCTAGATCATGCCCGTCAGCACAGAGTACAGACATCGACATGGAGCAGCACATCGAAACCTACATCCTCGCAGATCAAGGCGATCCGGTCAGCAACGCCTGAGTCGTTTATGATCTGGATATACGAGGTCAATGTAATTTTGCCTATGCCAGTGCCGTGCAGTTTCGGGGAAACAGCAAGCGAATGCAGACAGACGGTCCTGCCATCTTGCTGGTGTCCGACCTTGGCTGACTTGGCTGCATCGGCATCACGCCAGTTCTGCGGGTATCTCAGGTCGTCATCAGTCACGACGGGGCTCTTGCCCATGGTCGCGACGGCATGGGCACAGAGGACGAGGACCTCGCCGTCCTCTCTGTTCGTCTCGACGGGATTTGCCGTCGCGAGGGTTTCCAGACCAAAGTCTTTTGCCTCGGATGGCTTGACGCTGCAGAAGAGGCCGAAGCAGATGTCTGAGCATTGGGAAAGACGGTATTGGAACTAAGACGTGTTAGGGAGAGCAAGGGTGGGAAAAGTGTGGTACTATGGGGCGGGCGGGAAGTGGCCTAGGTGTGTCACCTGTTCGGGATGGCATCGGTGATTCGGATTCGTAAACGCGGCATCCTCCAGAGCCTGGCACGAGCTGACGCTCGACACGGTGA